CCCCAAAACCCCAAAACCCCAAAACCCCAAAACCCCAAAACCCCAACTTCTCAATTCATTTTCAAATAAAAGTAAGTTTCCAGAGTGTTAATTTAAAATTAATAATATTCGATGATTATTAGATAGAAAGATCAATGATTAGAATGATCTCTTGTTCAAATTATTTTCATACTGTTTCCTCCCTTTCATCATTACTTGTTTTTCTTAATGATGAAGGCACTGATCTAAGGATGTCTTTAATTCCTGTTATCTGGTGAGAGACTTATTGAATGCTCCTCTGTGATAGCAAGTGAGTCCTTTCTATAAATTTACTCTACTATGCTTTTATCAAAGAACTTATCAGCATCTTTCAACAGATATTAATCTGCTTAATTGCTTGTGTTGAGAGTGATATTCTGATCAAGGTCGTAAAAACTACTATTCATATCTTCTTGAGTATCAGTTGCTGTTGAAATATAATTATTGATTGTTTATCTGCTTTCAGCATTCTGCTGCTTAAGATTTTTGTAATTGACTATTTTTATGTTGGGCAGAGGCCTCTACCTATCTTCAGAAGAATTTAGTTCATTGCTGAACTTTATCATTCTGCGCTTCAGTCTAATCTTTTGACAGTTACTTTAATCTAATTTCGGTAGTTGGCATTTCTCAATGTTTTTATGAGGAATCACTTCAAATGATTGGTTCTTTTTCCTATGAATTTTAGAGGGGGCCTTATGCGAGTTTACCTGCTACTCATAAGGGTTACTATTTTCTGCTTCAATAACGTTCTTGATCTTACTCAAACTAGTCATCATGTTAACTGATTTTTACTACAAGGGTGATTAGCCAATTAGCTTAAACCCACTCACAGATTGTTGGAAGTTAAAGGCGTGGTTTCTTGATTTATTAGGGGATTCTTCGATAAAACTAGAGCTACCGATATTTTAATAGTTATTACTGATAAGAGTGAAGCCTTCTAAGTTGCCAAAAACCCCTTGATATTTAGTAGAGATAGGCTTAATTGGAGTATTAATGGGATATGCATCGATTCTAAAGCTTTAGAGTGGTTATTCAATTTCTTATTTGTAATTATAGAGTAAACTTGCTGATGCTTTGAATTCATCAAATTTGGTAGTTCTATGGACTGTACTAAGTGATTAATGATTAGTTAATAGCTATTTGTCCTTAATCTATATAAGACTATTATTACCCGCATTGGCATTGCCATTACTGTTCAAAATTGGTAATCTGTTCCTATCAGATTTCATATTTTTCGACTAATTTCTTTTCTTAATCTAGTTCAAGATGTTATCATTTCTTTCAGTTTTCCTTGTATAAATATTCTCTCTATCTACTATTTACTACTAAATTTGATATTAGTTATATTTAGTTAGGGACTAACTCCTAACATGACTGGCAGATTTCTTTGGAGCTATCACTACTCCTCTGTTCTCATTTGATATATTTAAGAGAGATAAAGACTAAAGTTGCTGCTGATTGGTTTCTAACTCTCTTATTAAAGTTTATACTTTATTTTATTCTTTTAATTTCTATTGAGTATTTTCATGGTTGACGCTTACATTCTGTCGAACATTCTTATCAGAAAGATTAATTTGTGATGTATGAGATTAGGCGTCTAAATTTTTCGCTTATAGTTAATCAGCTTTGAGGTTGCTAATGCGATCATTAAGAGTTTATAATTGAGTTTGCTTTTGTAGCTTGAAACCAAATTGAACTATGGTATTAAGGTGTATTTTTTAAGATTTTTCTTGTATTTTATTCATTTTAGTATTTTCGTTAGTATTCAACATTCTAAAATAGAAATTTACGACAAGATATTAAATATTAATTATTTATGCTATAATCATTTGAATTTAAATCAATTTTACCCTTTTATCGGACAGATCACAATTTTATGCAATCTGGGGTTTTGGGGTTTTGGGGTTTTGGGGTTTTGGGGTTTTGGGG